AGAACGAAGGCGAAAAGTGACCCTCGTTGCGGATATGGCTGTGAAGAGTTAGAAGAATACGGAAAATAGAAGCTTTCTAGACTGTCTAGCATATTTAGTGATTTGTTGAAGGGAATAGAACACAACAGATCAGCTATTGAGGTTTGTCATGTCTTTTTATCAACCCGATATAAGAGCTTGAGGACTATTAATCGCACCTAGCTTTATTTTTTCGCCCTAGGCCAAACTGTTCTTGCGTATAATAATAGCATTCACTAGAGCCTGAGATGGGGAATTCAGGTTTTGAGTGCCACCCCAATCCTGATCTCACCACCTTGTCAATCAGTAACAACTCCCTGGAACTAATTAGCCGTCTGATTCCTAACACGACTATGATCAAATCTGATAAATGTGTCTTTGTAGAATCCGTTAAGTTATCTAACTAAACAGCAAGTCTACAATGTCTTCACCGGAACACTCTTCAAGCGACGGGTTGTCTGATATGGCGATTGAGGTCGGCAGACTGTACTCTGTGTGTTGTTTCCGAAAAGTTGCTTTAGAGTCTTGCGACCACTCATTCCCAGGTATTTCGAATGCCCCGATAGGGATAGAACAAGTGGTAGAAGCGTCTTTCCTGCCTCATCAGCATCTGTGAAACTGCCCCTGGTAAGTTGTGAGAATGCTTGCTGAAGGAGTGGATAAGGTCGATATCGCCAGCGAAGGATATTAAGAGAGCCTTGGTCGTTGTGTTCATCTGATAGAGAGTTGCCGTTGGTGTCATACCGCTGAACCTCGGCAGCGGAACGGCCATTGTCCTCAAATCGTCCGAGGACGAGCGGCCGCCTCGCCGACTGCTTGATTGAAGTGGCAGATTTTTGGCCACCCTAGACGTATGGAGTAGGCTTTCAAGTGGTTGTAGGAATGAGGCTACAAGTTAGAGACCTCACGAGAAGTCGACCAGTCCGGAGGCGGTCGTACGACTGCGACTTTCAGCATGAGCACGTTGTGGCCAGAGACTTCGAAACTCCTGCTTTGACGGCCGCTTTCGCTGGCCGGTCCGTTTCTCAAACGCCCTCTGATCTTTTGTTGCCACAATTTCTTGAACAAGACCATACTCCTTTGCTCGCCAACGTATCTTGCGCAGACACCGCCGGGCGCGTCTCGGTACTGAGGTCTGCCTTCTTTCAGATAGAGCTTCATCCCTTCTACAATGATGAATACGGCGTCAATTCTAAGCGGATCGAGATCGTTGAAGCCGCGATATTCTACAGACGGTGGTTTGCGATGTGTTTACAAAGAATATCGTATATGGTAAAGCATAAATATTGTAATTATTGGCGGTGTTCGAGTCTCTCACAACCGGGTTTAACCAAGCCAACTCCGGCAATCTAGTTTCAATTGAATTACGATATTGTCTCAGTGCTAATCAACTCTCACTCAAATGACGTAAAACCCACCAGATGGTTTCTTTGAGCACGGTATTCCGTTAGCTCTTTATGGACTGTGACTGGTCAAGTGCGTGCATCAGTATTACACGTAGGTAAGGTCTATACTGGCAAGTTCAATGAGCAATCTCAAGCTACATTCATCACATATCGGTGATGTTATCAAGAATCGTCCGTGACAACCATGAACATCTTCTCTTTAGTTATGCTCTTGACATTACGTACTTGAACAACACTTAAGGATAGGCGAGTGAGTAACTCATACTAAATCTCGCCCCTTCTTGAACAAAAATTCCCTCGGCCCGATTGTAGCAGTTTGTCAACCTATGAAGAGGCTGGCCTTTGTTTGCCTTTACAAACCTTTACGTCAAGCTTGCATAGGTGGTCTTTACTATTATTGCATAATCTGTAACTACCTACTTTGAACCCGAAGCTCACGTAAATATTATCGAATCATCGCCAAAGGACCAATACAATACTCGAGCCGCATTAGCGAGGAAGTTCGTCCGCCGCCAATCGAGAAAGAAATTTCTATATTTGTATAGCTATTTTACAGGTCCTGAGCTATGACCTCATTCTTGTTACACAGAATCTGGCGTATGAATATGATATAGCAATGCTTTAGTAGCTCAAAGCCCATGAAAAGTCCTAGGTTGCGCTCAAGGGATAACATAAATAGCATCCGAAGAGTAAAGTCTGCGGCCTAATCTAGTGATATGCACGTGCAAAGTTTCTGATTTAGGTCAAAAGGCAAGTCTAGGTTGCTCGTCGGCTAAGTCACATTATAGAACCTGCCCCATGATATCACGAGAATCCTTGCTAGATTGTAAGGAATGAGACATCATTCCTTTTTGCCCGACTACAGATGAGTGTCAATATCGGCCATTCACTCAATTCAACGGGTGGTAAGATGTGCTTTGATACAAGTAATGCTATCATTGCGGCTGCCCTCAAGCTCGCTCACGGCGTCAGACCATGAGCAACATTGTATGACACAGAGGGACGATGTGACGAAACTCCCTCACTCAATCAGTAATGACCAAGATATAAGAAGGATGGTCGTCTAGGGCACTACCAGCTCACAAACCAAGATGAATAAGCCTTCAACCTATGCTAACCCTGTGTCTCGTTACAAGTTCGGCAAGTTCGGCGCTAAACGCGAAAAGAAAAGCTTCAAGGATAACATCAGACGTATCAGCAAGCCAGACATACGTCGATTAGCTCGTCGCGGTGGGCGTGAAGCGTATCAGTTACGGTTTGTGATAAGTCTTTCTATTATACCCTCTAGAATGGCACTGACCAATATTTGGAGATGTCTACGATGAAGCACGCGCCGCGATGAAGTCATTCCTGGAGAATATCATCCGCAGTGCAGTCATGTATTGCGATCATGCAAACCGTCGGACGATCACCTCGCTAGATATCGTTCATGCGGTGAAACTGCACAAGAGGGTATTATATGGGTACGGCCATTGAACCAGGGGCGGCCTAAGGGTTATCATATCTGTGGGGGTGGAGGTGAAACAACAGCAGCGCCACTTGCAGCTGATACACATCTCACGATGTTGAATATTCACAAGACGACGAAATTGTCGCGATATCAAGTATGTGTGATCAGGCAATGTGAGCTAGCTTGTATCATTTCTGCCTTAGTAGACCGAACATTGCAAAGGACTTAGCCAGTCCTACTGCTTTTCCGCTACATGGCAACCTAGTTCCGGCGGTAATTGATTAGAGCAGAATTCTCCCTCATCTTCGTGATGCAAAGTTTCCAGCTAAGCCAGGATAAACCAAGGCGAGCTGGTGAGCAACTCCATGTCAAAAGCATACAGGTCGTATAGCGGCCGGAGATGGCTGAAGCATCATCATCAGCAGGCTGGTTTCGTGGAGCAATTTGGTGGCCATCATATCGAGAAGTGCATGACAGCACAGCCGCTCGCTGTCTATCGAAAGAATACCGACTAAGCGGCATTCTACGGACATGCAACAAAAGAAAACGAGACAAACTATCCTGCCCTCGGGAACCACGCGGAGGGCCGTGAGTAAGAGAAAGCTCATGTTGTCCCTTTTATCGCGATTTGACCCCTCCTTCCATGTAGAGTTTGCGTTGCTTTGAAGGGACACAAAAAGCTAATGTCTTTTCGCGAGAACGCGCAAACTGGCGACTGTGCATATTTGGGCCCGCCTAGTCTCATTGCAACGCACGTCATTTTCGCCTGGGATGGACGGAGTGATGCTCTTGAAGGGATTTCTGCGCCCTGCAAATGTGCCGCAGGGCGGACGATGCACAGGTCGAGTACCGAGCGGTTGACGTTGGCAACACACGATCTAACTGGCTGTTGGCAAACGGACAATATGGGCATGATCCGATTCGCTGATTACCGGATGGCCCCATCTGGCCTACCGAAAGGTCCACTCGTGGCCGGCTGGTATTGGTCTTGTTTCTAGATCTCACTGTGGTCTGTGCTCGGATGTGGAAATTGCCTGGTACATAGAAGGGTATATCGGACCTTATTGAGGACGGTAACGAAAGTGAACAGTTCAGCCACCTGTGAAACAAGAAATATACATCGTCCACCACCTCGCGTAAAACACGGAGGATCTAATGGCATATCATGCGATCTGAGGTAGCCTGTAAGAATGCCTTGGTGGATCATTCTGGCCGTAGTGATGTCAGAATGCGTGAAGCCGAAATTGTCAACACAGTGTTATGGTGGGAGTGGGATGTCTTGGCCTGTTAGCGGGGTTATTATCTGATCGCCAACTATCCTGGACACACGCTTAGCAACCAAAGAATACTTACTTTCTCGATCAGGTTGGCTTCGGCAAGCATTTCGCCATGCCCCTCGCATCTATTCTGCTGCGTAGACGCGCACAGCTGCGTAACGGTGTCATATGCTTAGTGTTTTGAACAACCGCCGAAGCTTTTGCTGTACGCTTTCGGCCCTAGGCCGGGAACCAGTGGGCGCAATGCTCTTTTCAGTACTGCGGTGCCGGCTTTCCGGTCGCACAACGTTGCCGGCGCCCCCACGTCCTACATGATACGGCCGGAAACGGTCTTTCGGGGGGGTTGATTTTGCCATTTCAAGAGAGGGTGGGCAATCAAGTGCTTGGCGTACTCGGTGTCTAAAGTACGTAGAACGAAAAAGACGTAAAGACGTGGGAGAACAAGAGTCACCGATTCGTCTTTTTAACTCTCACCACCGGGAGTGATTGATTGCTAGGTCACAGTACGGTTCACGCGTTTCCATGCTGTTGTGTTCCCATGTGAACAACCCACACTAATAATCGTAACATCGCGGAGGGGAAACGGGCAGGCGTTAGCAGTAGCTGTGTTACAAACAGTCAGGACTATTATGACTAAATCAGTCGAGGCTCACCAATTTTTACCCACAGCTTGAGTACATACTTACCTCCGTGCCGAAGAAGTGGCTACACCGATCCCCCCTATCCTAGGAATCATGCGAAAGAATTTCGACAGGGCCATGCAGCTGTCCATGAAAATTTCTGGCTGCATGGCACGTTGTCCAGCTTTTTCACACGTTACTTGCCTGACGGACTGGAAAGCATAACAGCAACGCGTATCGACACGTTTCGATGCCATAGCTACGCCTCCCTCACCGAACTCTGTTCGCATTGGTCGCCAGTTGCAGTTCATCTTGAATCCCCCAGAATGTAAAATAGTGAACATCTCAATACATTCACCCAAACGTTGTGGGCTGCTGACATAACTCTTCCCGTTTCCGTAGCCCTCACTCAGTCAAGGATAGATCCAGTCAACAAGAGCATCATTGTGCGCTCTTCTCAGACTCATATGCCTCTATTGTTCAAGTTTTGAACACATGCGGCCACTTCTAAGTAGTCTAAGTGCTTTCGGAGAGTCAAGACACAAGCGCTTTCTAGCCAGTGTTTATCGTAGAGATACGAACGACAACGCAGCTTGCGAAAATGATGTTCCATGTAATCGGCAGGCCTTTTCAAGGGTGTGGCTAACTCGCTGTTTTCTCCCTACGCCTTGATGATGTATACCTCAAAAGGGCGTCGCAGATAAACGAGAGCGCATGAAGGAAGGATGAGGCTCATTCTGAGCATCAATATCAAGGATGAGTTGAGGATGGTTTCCCACTCGCCAACTAAGGCAGGAGGGCGCGTGAGAGACTGACTATGCGTAACGTTAGCGAGACTAGCAAAGAGACGAAAGTGAACTTGCAGGTAGAGAAGCTGTATACGGTCGCATGGTGCGAAGCCAGCCCATCCGCGATGTCGAATCTTTGGCTCTATGGAAGTCTCCTGTCCCATTAGCATAACTGTGCTGCGTCGGGGACGTTCGTTAGTAGTAAGTCTCTTTGTGATCTACCTAGGTCTTGCTGGGTAACCGCCAATGGATTGCGACAGGGCGTGGCATGACCTTGCGTAACATAACCTTGCCACGCTAGCTATGCTTGGTTTAGAGAATGTTGAATCATCAGTGGTACTGGAATTCCCACGAGCTGGCTCCCGCTGTTTCTCCGTAGCAGGGTTCACAAGCCGGGTCACGACCCTGATTCGGCTTGCGGCTGACAATTGCGTAGGATCAGCGGGGGAACTGCATCAGTTAGCTACTCCGCTGCGGTTCGTAATTCAAGTCTCTATCCAAGAGAATCCAACGTTAGGAAGCCTCTGTCTCAAATTTGAAGCGGTCGAAGCTGGGTACATTTTCTCCCAGGTTATCCCGCCGTTTGGTCAGCCTGTCCCGCCGGCTCCACATAACAGCCCTACATCTAGACACCTGGAGAGAATGCTGCGGTCGCTTGACTGGACTAGACCATCTATCCAATCAAACGCATAGCGCTTTGATTTGGACTCTGCATTTCGGGTAGAACCGTGACAGTGATGCTGTAGAAAGTCAACAAATATATATAATCGGGAAGTCACTGCGCCCACAAAGGTGACGATATACATCCTTTTACAGTCCCATCTCCGACCACGTTCAGTTCTCAATCTATTAGGAAAACGACTAGCTTGCAAAAGCCAAAGATGCGAAGTTCATTCGTTTTTCCGTCGCCGCTGCAGCTGTTTGCCAGCGCTGCATTGCGAGGTACTGGAGTATGGCTTTTCACCACCCCCCCCCCCCCCCCCCCAACATGCAACCATCCCGCTGACACTGCGTCGCCGCAGGAACTTGGCGATGCTCCATTCGTCAAAAACCCACAAGGTATCGTGTATGAGGCGATCCTTCCGGATAGACCCTTCTTCGAGGCAGGTTCCATGACTGGAAACGTACGAGGAATCATCACCGCCATGACAGCTCGGGACGGCAACGGTGTCGAGCTCACAGTCGGCTTTTCGAATCTGCCAACCGAGGGCGGCCCTTTTAGTACGTTGGGAATTGTTTGCGTCTGAATCACTCACATAAGTCTTTTCTAACGTTTATAGCCTACCACCTTCATGCGGATCCGATTCCGGAGGACGGCAACTGCACGAAAGCACTCGCGCACCATGACCCCTTCATCCGTGGAGAAGGTACACCGTGCGATGCCTCCAAGCCAGAAACTTGCCAAGTTGGAGACCTCAGCGGTAAGCACGGCTCTGTCGCCGGCGAGCACTACCGTCAGACATACGTCGATCGCTATCTTTCGATCGCCAGGCTCGTTTTTCGGCAACCGCAGCTTCGTGCTGCATTTCGCAAACAAGACGCGGATCACCTGCACAAATTTCAAACTGGTCGAAAGCGCTCCGCCATACAACAACGGGACCGGCATTCCCAGTGCGGTTCAGGCGACCGGTGCTGCACCTATTGCAACTTCTCATGACCATGTACCATTTGTCGGCGCGGCTTCGACACTGAGCGTATCAGTTTTCTTTCTGTGCTTGACGTGTACTGCAGCTTACCTGGTCCGCCGTGTTGGCGATATCTAAGTCTCGAGGTTGATGGATAACTAGATAACCTGAGTCTGAGTTTGCCTTTGAATAGAAGGGGTTTCTAATGAGACGTCCATCAAGCTTTCAGTCGCACTTAGAATGTGATTTGCATACTAGTGTGACGAAAGTAGAGCGTGGCGTTCGTTTAGGCCATGTTCGGATGGAGGAACGCCTAAAGTCACTGCTGTTTCTACAATATAGTTTACTTGCTTGTTGGATTCATCTCCCGATTCTTTCCCCGCTACCTTCAGTATGATTCGTTTGCAGGAGACATTGTGAATAGACGTGGATTATTGAGCGCTGAGATCAATTCAACCATAGCGGTTTGAAAGGTAACAATGGTTTGTATTGACTTCCTACCGGAAAACGTACTTGAGGCTAAAGCGAGCAATGATATACGGCATTGACTATGAATGCTGCCGTCATGGACGTTAATGCGTCGAAAACCAGCCAGAACAGGCTCTGAGTGACATGAACTCCCTGAGTTTTTCGCCACACCTCTACAACAACACATAGCCCGACTGGACACCTTGGACTAAGCGCAATGATCTGCGAATGGCTACCCATCGCTCTTCACCGCTCTCCCTATCCCCACATACTGTCAATCAACCCGCACTGGCAGGCACTCAGCCGAAACTGCAGGGTTTGTTGGTATGCCTCCCTTCTTGTGGCGATGTAAGCTAAAAAACCTTCTCCGTTGCAACCTCAACTTCTCGTTTTCTTGTCGCTGCGCCAACCGAAGATACTGTCTGCGGATAATCGTCTGTTGAAGCATCCGCCTTCTCTGCCGAGCACTGCTCACCTCTTCACTCGTTTGTGAAAGCTGGCGTTGCCATTTGGACACAATGGTGTCCGTTTGACACTTGTGCAGTCTGCAAAGGGCTCGTTTTACAATGTCCCCGAGCTTAGCGTCCTCGAAATGAACGAAGCTGGCTTCTTCGAGATCGCTGCAGATTCTCTTCTTACAGCGACCGCCAGATTTGGCTTGACCTAAACACTTCCCAAGCCCCTTTAAATTTACACTTCTCAAAAACTCAGTGATCGAAAGTAATCTGGATGCTACCATGATGCTTCAAGGGAAATAACCAATCAGTAAAACGAGCCTACTCTGAGTCCGATCAGATAGATCACCATCATATAAATAGTTCGACCAGGCAAGATGGTACTGTTATCTCTAGCGGAGAGTGTCAGACGTCTGTCCTTTGTGAAGCCGTCATGACCCAAGCACCCATCTGGGCGAGTCAGGATATGCGTCGATCGCGTGACGATCATCTTATGCAATCGCTACCTTAAGCTTATTCCGCAGCTACACGCCCAGACACGTGTTTGACTTGATATGCTCCATTATAGCTGAGGAATCTCGTGATCCGATGGCCTTTTGCAGACCCCACTATGAATGCTCGTCGGCTTGCGCTCGCATGTTTACGTTTCCATGACTGTCACTCATTCAAGGCTAATACAGGTCCATTGTGTCACGGCAAAGATGGCTAGTCGTCTGACACGAACGAGGCCTTCGCAAAGTCAATTTGCATGGCATGACAATTCACACGGGCAGATTTCGCACCTTGTCAATCAGCCGTACTCATGTGTGACTGGAAGCACTTGTCAGACGGCACTTCGATAGAGATATGAAAACGGTTGGCGCTATACTGCAGGCTGAGTGGAGAGTGTAGTAGAAGTTACCATAAGAGCCTAGGTATTGGCTTCGGCAGCCGGCGCTACGTCTGGGATGGACCTGGTGGTGATGTGCGTTGGATCCTCATCAGCTATCCCTAGTGAGTAATTTCATTTAGAAACTCATCAGTCACCAAAAATTCCATAAGCACATCACAGGCGTAGTACATGGTGATTAAGAAGGACAGCAATTACATCTATGGTCACTACTATTCTACTAATACCCTCTCTTCCGACAAACAGTCCACTAGCTTGTCAAGTCAACCGAACAGCCTGAGCCGACAGAGTACATGAAGAATGTGTAAGGCGTAAGTTTAGTACTGTTGTATTTCCACCTGCGTACAGTCGTTGTTCGCAGGCGTATCTAAGCTTGCTGGAACTTGGCCGCAAAGACTGCCGCATACTAGACTTCTTTGCGTTTGACGTAGGTACCAGTACGGATGGCTTCTAGAACTCACTACAAGAAGACGTTACCCGGTCGGTTCGGTGCTATGTCAATGCTAATGGATACGAAACGAAGGCGAAGCATGGTAGACTTCTATGCCTTGGGTGGATGCGCTGTCAACTACGGGAGAGAAACAGACACAAAGCTGCGGGAACAAATCGACCACACACTCAGATGTCCATGTCGCACTTATCTTCCGTCTTTCTTTTGACAGACAAGGATGTTTCATTCACCAATTGCAATCAGGATTTGTATTGCTCACTATGGATGATGACTAGAGCCGGAAATGGATCTGTCAAAGCAAACGACCCTTGGCCCGCCTTTCTAGCATGGCCCCCACAGCGGGAATGATTTGCTTTCGACTACCTCCACTAGAATCCTCCACTCCAGGATGACACAGATCGATCACATACCCCTTCTTTGTCAGCTGAATGCGTACGTGGATAAGGTTCGGAACAAAGAAGACGACGGGGATGATTGGCATCATTTTCCCCATGGAATAGACTGTGATCTGCCAGTGCGCATTCCAAACTCTACGGCAGGTGTGTTCCGGTCGAGAGGCGCTCTCCAACTTCCATAAGGGTCTACCATTCGAGTCTGTGATACCGTTAAACGAAATATCTGGGACATCCAAGCAGTGCAGAGTCACGAAAACACCTGGGATAGGTCGTTTCTGCGTGTCGAGTACTTGGACAGTGATTTGCATGGCTCGCGAATTGTGAATCGCTGTACGTAGGCGATTTTCAAATCCTTTCAAGCACATGGCGCTGGGACTTTTTATACTCTGTCGTGGCTAGCAATATACTCAAGCTAAGTGAGACACGTCGCATAAATGGTTCGAAGACACTAACGTGATCACTTATTCTGCGATAACTGGAAGTACTATGGTAGGGTAATACGTTATATCGCGTTCGATGTTGTGTAAGTAACGAGCTAACAAGTGCGAGTGGTGATCAACCTCTTACCAACTTACCGCGCAAACCCGTCCATTTCTTGGCCAAAGAGGGGCACAGCTCTACATCACATTTATTCTAGTGCGAACAACGAAGTGGGTAAACCGTTACATCCACGGAAGTGTAAAAGACAAGTGTAACACTCGTCAACGATGTAGCGTTCTCATCATGCGACACTAATAACTTCGGTTCGCATACCGATACATCAGATAAAACATCTCGAAGTAGATGCCTTTGCTAAGCTGTCAGCTGCTATAACACTCAGACCCGTGCATCTGCCTGCCTGACTGCCAAATGGCAGTTTCACATGCTTTGGAAAAGGAGACGGCGCATGTTTGTGATACACACTATTGAAATTGAAGTCATCAAGCATTAAAGATTCCGTCAACAGGACGAGGCTCGAGGTCGAGAGCTCGCTACGACAATTTTTCAGCTCCACCTCCGTACGAGACCTCATGGCTTGTTTACTGGCCCTTGGCGGATGTTCTTCGTTCTATTTCCTTTTCCTTTTTCAGTGGCGACTTCTTGTCTTCGGGTCTGTAATCCTGCCAGCGGATCGGCTCACTCAGAGGATCTTTCACACACCCTCAGGAACCGCTCTGCCCAGGCGTCGATGGAACATTCTAAACCAATTCATTGGGGGATCTGAAGCAGCTCGACGACATTTTGGGCACAACGGTCGCACGTATCTATCCATCCTAGAGCTGCATCTCGCGTCGGGGCAATTTGTTCTGCCATCTAACATGCACGCCCAATAACCTCGTCATATCAAAATAAATCCTCACGACATGTCATCCATTCTATGCCATCGCACAGCTGCTATCCTACTACGTATGCGTCGATGTCTTCAATTAAACCTCGATGTATTTTTGTCCAACTTGTGTAGCGTTCCTGAATCTCTTTGACCTAAGATCCCGGGCGTCAAATCCCCTTGGGAGACGCCACCAGTATGTCCACATCGATCACGGCTGCAACAAGTGTACGTCGATACGACTTCACCGCAGTTGCCCCACATCACGTTGACAGCCTCTGCGAGGTTCTCCCCCATATTGACGACTTGGTGGTATGTCCCTGGGAGAGTGACCACCAGCTCGCCTTCTCGACAGATTGTCTCACTGAAGTCGATGCCCCAGTCAAGGAGAGCCTCAGTCGTTACGAGCACATTTGCATGCCGCACAAACTGTGAGCAGTGTGGCGCTACGCGTTGAGGCCTACGGGCATGTGTGCGCCACGGGAATGTCTCGCGGCATTTCTTCTCGAAGGCTCTCGCATTCTCTTGCTCTGGCGTGACGAACAGCCATCGCTTGGGGGCACCCCAGCGTACCATGTTGACTGATGACACAGCGAGGTCCTCTATATGCATGCCGCTTCCAGTGAGTGCATGTTTCGCATAGTACAGATACGGCGTCGTGATGCCCGGCTTGGCATCGTTCACAAAGAGGCTCTTAAGTTGAGGACCGCAACTCAACAACGACGACGGCTTACCAAGCAAACAAGACCAGTCGCCAATATAGTACTGGCCGTGCATGGCTGTGCGTGTTCGCAGCGCATCAGCTGAGAAGAGGTTGTTGTTATTAAGAACTGCGGGCGTGTGACTTGTGAACGAAACCATCTTCGGGCGGCGGTATGCGGTGTTAGCGTATTGTAAGTGAAACACAGCGTTTCCTCGCCGCGAGGGTCCAACCTTCGTCGTGTAGAAGTCCACTCTAGACGTGTCGTCATCTGTTTCCAGCGGGAAGCTGGCGATTCCGGTTTCGGTAAAAATACCTGACGGACTGTAGTCGGCGATACGACACTGCCAAAAGCCTTTGGCTACTGTATCTGGATCGTTGCAAAATCGGGCCAACGTAGCACTGGTACTAGGTCCCAAGTCTTTCAAAGTGATGGTGACTGGATCAGAGGTAGGGCTGAGAGGTGCTGAGGTCGGTCGCGATGAGAAACCTAGCGTTTGCGATTTCCTGTTGGTATCCATGATTGTAATTGGCGTTGTTTGTGATGTTAACACCCTTATCTACCTCCTGTTATACAAGGATATTCCGAAGTTGTGCGAAAGCTTAGACTGGGGACAGGGACTTAAATGCCATCAGCTGCTTTCACTTCAATCGGCCCTTAGTCAACAGATCCTCCTATTCCGTCATGCTTTGTCACGAAAACGTTTCCCAGACAAAAGGTTACAGAAACACACGAATAAGAGGGTTTCTCTCTGCCCTACTTGTACACTTCATACCATGGGTCAGACAGCTGATTCCTAGATAATACTGCCGTCTGTTGGCCCCTTTGTTGATTTCGCAATATCTCACGAATATAGACCCCTCTCACTACCTGGCCCATTATCTCATCACAGTAATCGGCCCACAAATCGACGAAATGACACAAGCTCTTCATAGCTTGAGCGAAAAAAGATAGCTGCGACCCTAATCTCTGTTCTCTCATTGTTACGTCGCATCACATAATGTCGAACAGAGCTGCGCTTGACTTATCTTCAACCCATGAATACGTATTTAAGAAAGGGCAAACTGCCATTATCAACTACTTAGAATCTGCCGTTTTTTTGCAAGACGACAACCTACTCGAAGTCTCATTGGTCTCCACCAATACATAGCGTTATGAGCCACCGCTCACGAAGGATGTTGATTTGTCGAATCTCGATGACCGAGCTAACATCGACACCATTGCAATAAACTTGACGTGAGCAGATTCGCGCGCTAAACATTCAACATACCAGGCCCCGAACTCCAGGGTTACTTTAACTTGTGTCGTTGTGCAAAGACGATACGTCAACTATGTCAACCAAAATGGGGAGGTATATAGCGGCGATGACTTCGTTATCTGTTACATTCATTCTATTTTCTACGCTTTTTTCTGTACATCCCTAGACGCGGCTCGTCGCGCAGCGTAAAGGATACAGCTGGCTGCCCTTGTGATAATTACCCAAGTCCCCACACATATCTACATGTTGATTTGTTGTTCTGCGTCAGTCCGTGGGTCAACATCTATGCTTTGCTATGCAACTGTCCGATAAGGTCATAGCGTCTTGCTCTCCACGACCTCGCGTGATTTTGCGGAGGAGACGATGCGCTCTGTGGTGTAATTGAGAACTCTCTTCGCGCCGCATTCCGGTCATCATTCGCTCCACTGCCTGCCGAAACTCTGTGCGGCAAGCTAGAGCGATAAGGCGGACGGGTCCCTGCCCTTCTGCGGTGCCTGTAGTGCGTATTCTGAAGGCCTTGCTGCGGGCGGCATGGGCGTTCTACGATGGACGTTTGGTATATCAAACCCCACGATCTTCCGCTGCCAGGGTAGCTGCTGTTGAATGCTTTGTCCGATTCGTTGTAAGTCGCGGACGAAGAGTAAGGTCGCGAATAACTTGTCCCATCTCGCTGAGGCCGAGCCTGGGGGCCCGAATGGATCATAGCTGGGCTCTCATTCTCTTCCAGGTCTTGCTGCGAATCGCGTTTTTCGGCCTTGGTCAGAAACTTGTCTAGTCCCAGCTCGCGAAAAGTAGGAAGCGGTACCCCCGGCTTGTCGATGACGTGGTGCAACTGGCCTCTCATCAAGAAGCTGGGCTGTGCCGACATGAAGGGAGTAATTGACGTGTTGCATTCTAAACCTGGGCGGCAGTGAATCATCGTTCTTGAGTCAAAACCACGGCCCTCAGATGGTGTTCCACAGCTCATATTGACGATTTTTTTGCAGCGATCTTGAGAAGAAGCCCCGCGAGCGACGGAGACCGTAGTACATCTTATGCGGCTGCGGCTATCCAAGATCAGCAACATATCGAAACGAACTTAAAGGAGAAAGGTGTCTTATCTACGACGTGCAGTGTTGAAGAAGCACGTCGCCTCATTTAATAGCGTGCTTCAAGCAATACCGTAAGAATATGTGGTACAATCGGTTGGCTTTCGTCAGTGGTGTTACCGTTATTTCTGTTTTCATCTACGAACACCAGCGCCGTAAGTTGGCATAGGAGGTCTAACGCTGGTTAGTTGGCCCACTTTCCCACCGAAGCTCACCATCCCCCTGCCTCTAGCAAGCTTTGACGATCACCAACGCCATCGCTAACGGGTTTTGAAATCCTCCCCACCACTACACGTAAATTTGACGGTCACTGGACGACCGCGGCAAAGTAGGATGCATGATACTGCGGATGGCGATGCAACAGACTGATTTCATCGTCAGGATTCCCGTTGCTCGAATACATGTACACTACAGAAGGACCCATAATCACATCTCAATGATTGTCTCCACCGTAAGTCAGCCAGCGATCCCGAATTGTTCTGTTACCCATTAGTAGAAAAGAGGTAATTGAGAACGAACTAGCTAGGATCCCTTTATTGTCAGGACGTGGCGACAACCGATTCCGTCTATAAGACTAAGGCTCATTCGTCTATAAGACTAAAGCTTATTTTAATGGCTCCGATCAACGCGTTACGTCCGACTCTGTAGCCAAGCATCGTTATATGCAGCGCGACTCGCGTTCGACAGCCTCATAGCTTGAACTCAATAGTCGACTCGATCTCACATCTCGGCCTTTATAGCCGATGATCACTGAATCTAGACATCATGGTACATACTCCTCGTCATTGATAAGGAGATTCAGGCATTAGGCAGAGTATCAAAGCGATATCAAAGATCTTTCTCCAAAGTAGTCGACAGTGGTGCTTGTCGTAAGACACATGTGGTCTCGATTGCCGGCTGCGGTGAATGGCGTTATGTTTGCGATATGTGCAGTGTTAAGTATCAGGGTTCACATTCACGGCATTCAAATTACCTCTATGGTTCGTGTGTGGGTGAAAGCAACAAAGCAAGTACATTGTCCTATTCTAATACGCTCTTGAGACAATACATGGCATTTTCCAGCACCGAACCATCTACACTTTCAAGAAAAATTTCGAGGTCAGTCCGCAAGATTGTAGCGACCAATTCCAAGTAAATAACAGTGCTTGGACTATCCTGAGATGATCTGGAGCTATACGATCCATATAGGGGAACCCACAGTTGAACGCGTCAAAGACAGCTACCTGGTATCTAAAGAAAATAACCTAGAAGGCATATTACCATGTCATTATTCTATGAGCAATATACCACTCCATCTAATCAGCAGTTGCCTCGAAGGCGCCTTCTTCAAGAAACGCATCCCAAATCGGCGATGTCAGATCCGGAAGAGCCATGTTCGAGTCCACTGGGCTTTCCAGGCCAGGACATGCATGTCGAAAACACGCTTCCCAGCGGCACAAAACTTGTTCACACGTCCATTGAAGCTGTCTCATCGCAGGGCAGCATGGGTTGTTCCTCCTAGTTAGGTATATTAGATGTTTCCGAAGGTCACTCGCACACTGTTGCCATTCATCCAAGAACGAGACGATATCTTCCTTTTCTGGGATATATGGGAGAGCTGTGGGAGGCACCGTGACCACATCACCCTCGTCGTTTTGAGTAGATAATTTGCCAGGTTTACCGCGAAGGCGCCCATTTTCCACTTTCTGAGGTCTGGAAATTGCCCCAGATAGGAACAACGAGTATCTTGACAGGCGGATGCTGGGAATAGGAAAGTCCATGTTGGCCAGCGCTGTGCGTGTGAGGATTTCGCGACAGCTGCTTGTTTCGGGAAACTCAGTTCTCGTGGTAATTGGATGAGTAAAAAAATGGAAATGGAAGGATTCCATGGAGGATCAAATACATCGAGGATGAATTGAGATTTCCAGCAAGTCGAATCAAAGACTTTAGTACGATTGAATAGCCATTCGTGCCGACACCGGAACATCATCCGCCCATGTTATACCTGTAGCGAGCCCTATAACAAAAGAACGTTCAACTGATAACATTTGGATCCACTGCATCCGGAGATGGTGTGGCTAACTATTGGTGGACATGTATTGGGCATTGCCGTGACGTGAGGTTTCGTGCCATATCCACTGACGTTAGGATTAAGGCAGAACATGTAGTCCTTAACGCACTCTTGATGTTAGCAAGCACTACAATGTCAACTCCAAAGTGCGCTTGATGCTAAGCAATGCGTGGCCGCAATTACCTGATGGTGGCCGAAGAATGCTTTTAAGGACAACGCCACATGGACCAGGTTGTAGTATCGCACCATAGCAGTCTCCCATTCTTGGTTGATGGGGTGGCTTCGCACTGGTCCCTTTGGTCTGGTTGTAGCTGAACGTGCATGGGAATGTTATGACGCTATGAAGACTTGGATCGACGGGGTCACGACAAAGGTGAATACATTTCTTCGAAAGACGCAGAAAATTCGTTTCTAATAAGCCAACATTCTTTTCTAACTATATGTCTGAAACCCAACGCGGGGTTTCGCCGCATCTATAGAATTGATAGTAAACAGTCGTGTGGAAACTAGAAGAAACATCAACTGGACAGGCAGGTTGACCTCTCCATCAACAATACCATTGGTCGTACAGAGGCTCAAATCGACCTAAGGTGCCGTTGTGTATGAAAACATCTACGGACCCATCATCGGCCTCGATATCGATGATATCTACGTTGCTTGCATGAGAGTTTTTCTTGTCTTTGTCCTGCCTATAAGCCGATTGCGTGGAAGGCAACCGAGATACCGTCTTCCACCCAATAGTTTGCACAGGTACATCCAAGATGGCGGCAACTCCTACGGCGCCATCGTACACTTCAAGCCCCCATATGCAAAGAAGCTCGTCGTAATGATCGACGTATTTCCATGTCGTAGGGTGAGAACCTTGAGCAATGGATGAAGATGATTGCAGTGCCTTGATGTCGCCTAACCAGCCAGACAAGGCTTGCACCTCCGTCTGAGCAATACGCACAAGTTCTGGGTTTGATTTGGAGCCTACGCAACGCAGGAGGATGCCTTTTGAGCTTTTGAAGGACTGACGGAGGCTAGGAACAGTATTTTGCGAGTCTTCCTCAAGCAACTCGAGCAAGTCAGCAATCTCACGATCCAGCGAAGACGCCATTTTCCGGAAACTACGACAGAAGAGTATTATACGGACGGGGTTGCATATAAATTACTCCAGGAGGTAGGCTTACAGCGATTTAAGCCATTTCAAAGCGAAATGCGTGATGCTTTCCCGCTCTATTCACATAATTTTGTTGCTCAGTCTCAACGGCCCATTACGACATGTAGGTTTGACGGTATTATGGCATCAATACCGTGAATGAAGTCAAGGTGAATGATTGCTCTTTTTCTCAACAAATCGCGCCCTTATCGAGAAATACCTCAATCCAATCGTCTAGTGATACTTGTCAATTACGTCCCTCAGCCCATTTGGTATCGAGCATATTACAGTACAGGGTGCTTATATGATGGTAATACTAGCTAACTATCAATGCTATTTTGATGAGTTGCGATCAGTTTTCCGGTCTTCTATGAGGCCACGAGTACTTTATCTTGTCAGAATGAGCTTTCCAAGTGCGTCTCAAGCCACAGAAGACGGACCAATAAAACATATGCGATGACATGATAGCACGTCTTTTGCCCATCATGGCCTCTTGTCATCATTCTGAGTGTCGAACACCAAGAAAGCAAAGAGAAACGACTGACTTCAAAGCCAAATCGGCTCGGAGCTAACATATCTAGCTTTTGTTGATGCTTTGACCTAGATGGCCAGCACTTGGTAATCCCAGTAAGTTTACGTGGTTTGTATAATCAGGGCTAGTCTGAAGCTCATCAAAGCATACCGTAGCGATATCTGCCAATACGCCCTGATCTTTTCGTGGTCATGCAAGCATGAAGTACCAGTGTAGAATATTGCCAATAGGCCGACTTGGACTACAGTTTTTACAGCCAGCGGCTTCATTCCACCCGTCATCAACTAGCCTTAACAAAAATGCAAAAGTCTCCACTTCTAAAGACTGCCCGACCTTCACTAAGTATTGCTTGTGTCACTGCCAATTTGCAGCATGGAGCCTTGCTTCTCCGAGTTTACAGATGCACAATTATATCAACGGTGCCTGCATTGTCGCGGTGGCAACTTTCTCCTGGCCAATCTAATGTCCTGCCGGCGCTTTGGACTGCGATGAGACGCCTCAACTGAATTTAGCTGGCCACTGAGGTGAGCGACTGTCTGATGCCAGTCGGACACCGCCCTCACAAGTGAGGTGATTAAGACACTGTGACGTCGGAGACGAGCATAAGCTAGAAGGTTAATCAGTAGCGAAATGAGAAGGGATACAACGCAAGCAACAAGAAGTTCTTCCATAGCAATGTGTGTTTACATTGAGATGCGCTCATTTAAATATCTCGCAACCTCGTCACGGACGCCGCGGTCTCATTTCTCGCCGACGCATTTGATGTCATGGTTGGTCACCGGCAACTACTTTTGTCAGACTGGAACTGATGGTGGTATCGAGCTGTCTTTGTCATCGCACTCCAACAGTTGAATGTGAGCCGTGCCTCGTGCCGCTCGTTACTGGGGTGCATTACGGCCAGAACCTGATACAGTTACGTCAGGTCTCGCTAAAACGGACATAACATGTCAATGACCCCTTCGGATCGGATAGCTTGAAAGCTAGCCAATGACGAGAGAATATCTGGCTTCAGGTAACTATAGCGTCGGGCAATTAACTAGAGCCAACAATATAAGTGAAGTCGCTCACGCTAGTAACAGTCATAACACGCAGTCGATTTTTCTTGCTGTAGCTGCAGGTGAGTCGTGCAATGGAACCAATTACGTATCACCTACGCACCAAATGAGTGGAGCTTGAGGGTTGGGTTTGTGGAACGGGTCGGTGTTTGGGCCGCAAACCAGTAACAATTGCTGGTAGATTATATCTTTTTCGACACTTCGGTCGGCCCACCGGAGATCATGAGGCGCTGTTAAGCGGATATTTCAGGGCATTTCCTCAGAGTAAGCAGCAGATAGCGAGACAAGAGGCCGTTATAATCTGAGTAAAGACACGAATTCCTATTTGACTATGTTGGGGGTTTGCTACCAAAGATTAAAACCTAAGGTCTCCTACACATCGGCACGAGAGTCGAGACAACACGGGTCATTGGCCCCTATCGCGGACTCTTTACTCTCTGTGGTTATGCTCTCGTTTTGTTTTTCTTTCTTTTTCTTTTTTGTTTTATGTTACGATCTCATGCTTCATCAACGAGTGATAATTAAGGTCTTAACTATGCAGACAGCGCCCGAAACATAACAAGGCTTCCCGGTCTGATTGCCCGTGAGAATCGCTCGCTTGCGGCATAGGGTACGAATTAATTCCTCAATAAATCTGCCAGAAATGCCGAATGATGCTTAAGCCTCCGCTACGCACGTCAGGTGCGCATCACCCATTCAAATTGTTTTGAGAAGCAGTGGAAGCTTGATCCGGGACTTTCAATCTGACCAACCACAAATCCAGTAAAATGGCTGCGACAGCCTCGGCGGAACCAAGCGGCAGACAGCCTTGCTACGAGTTGATCCGTTGCGCTCTCTTGAGTCGTGACGACCGATCAATGACTTTGCAAGAGATCTATCAGTGGATTCGACACAACACCGAGGAAGATATGACTCCATCTACGTCCACGATTCGCTACAATCTCAGCATGAATAAGGTGTGTCTGAAGATCGCGTACATCTTCGCAGCGATTACGTCCAGCGAGAATCTTTTTCTTCTTCCGCTTTTCTTTCGATGACACCTCTCGTAATTATTTGACTGGTAAGCCCCTATCTTTGACCCGGAAGCTAATGACGAAAGGCTTTCGTTCGAACGTTCGATGAGCAATCAATATGGCAGCTTTCATCCCAGTTCGCCCACAAAATTTTATCAACAAGCTTTTGCCATAGACGGGCATTTCCCTCCAGCGGTAAATCACATAGAGCCATACGCGAGTCGAGTAATATTCTACCCGCACGGAAGAAAAGACGCCGTGGTAAAGATACCACAGTCCTGAATGCGGGTGGATCCGTTGGCATAATGACTCATGTGAGCACCTTTGCAGATGGTAACAGTGTCTGCAGTGCCCCGAGATGCTTCGATGAGCAACTTCCATCGGTGAGCAAGACTTCCTCCCAACAAATGAATATTTTGTTGACATCCCGACAGGTTTGCTTTCAGTGCCTGCTTGGAGAAAATGAGCTGTGCGATAAGAGAAGACCATCGTGTACCCGATGCTCAACGTTGGGGTTAGCGTGCGAGGAACAAGCGCCTTCTTTGAAAGCCGGAATGCTGTATCTCACCAGTCTGTCATGACCATCGACCAGCGCTTGCCAGGGGGCCACCGACGTTGATCAGTGGTGTAGACGGGAGTACGGTACCTAGTGTGTGTGCTTGGAGTAGATGGTTCTCTTGACGAATGAATCAGGTCTTAGCATTGTTGGGACTTGGAAACTGTTGGTATTCCTATCACAGGGGTTGGTTCGAACCGTGGGTGACGAAGAGGTCAAAATCGATATATATTTAGCTTCTGCGTAAGGTGTAAAAAGGAGGTTCCAACCGTAGGTTGGGCAGACCGTGGATCTCGTAAGTACGGTCTGTAAGCGGCCCCTGCGCGGGCCCCTTGCCTCGAGGTCGAATTGGACTTCCAATCCGACAGAAACAAAGGTATTATGCGGGCAACTGAACGGTAGCTCATCACCGGCATCCATAGTGAGCACACGGCGAGGTGTACGTTTGGATATCATTTGGGAGCATTGCATGATTTGTTATTTGCTAGCATCATTCATTGCTGCTAAGGTATTTCGCCGTTGAGTCAAGTCGTCGACCTGGATGGGCTCATTCGAATGGGAAAAAGCAACACTGTTTGCCGAATCGACGTCTGGTGATCCCAACACGCTGGACGCCACATGGTAGAAGTGGCAAGAGCTCCTTTGGAAGTAATCGCTATAACCATCTAGGAAAGGAGGCGGCGGCGGTGATTGCCAGGCTGAAAGGCATGGCTGACGTGCAGGGGCGAATGGGACGTCCCATCCATGTAGGCACGGTGTGTCTCGATACTCTGGCACGAGTACTTACTGGCCCGCCTCAAGTGTGGGCACCGCGCATGAGAGCCTTTCTCGAGCCTTGAGTTCGCCTAAATGCTTACGACGACCTCCATGCTCCGTGAAGACCGGGGTATATCCGCCTTACACGCCTTCAACAAACATTTGTACCTGCGCCGCCCTGGAGCTCGGATTTCCCCGGAACCCTGAATGTTTCCTGATCTGTTCCGTATTATCATTGAACACATTCACGCCGGGACACAGTGTGCTATAGGATGGCAAGACCATGTTCGTTGCGTATGGCTTGGGGTTAGGATAGTGATATCACGAACCACTGTGTCGGGGATTGGTGGACAGGGGGCCGAGAGAGCAGATGGTGGACGAGTTATGCCGCCGTCAGAGGACGTGCGCGAGACCGTGGGCGTTGATGCAGGACGCGCCATGGACCTCTGCTGCCATGAAGTGCCTTGAGCTTGACCACGGTGGTGATAGTATTCGCGAATGGTTTTATTGAAGTTCAGCGGAGAGGCTCGTTGCCAATGCTATACGTCTCACAGACAGCTAACTGTTCTTGTATCTGTTCTTGCGTCTGCCCTTGTCATCAACTTTGCCTATCACCTAACCCTGGCTGTCTGCGCGACGCACATTGCAGGGATGCTTTTTCGTCGGGGAGTGAAGACCTGCGTCACCGTTCTGATCGACCGCTACAAGCACTTTCACCAAGCGAGACATCGTCTAGAGGGCCGCGTCGGGGTTCGGGATGCGCGATCGCCAGGTGTGTTCAAATCTAGAACAGGCGGTGGGGACGCGGTTATGTTATGTGATTGCTTGGCCCTTGGGTGGACATAACAGGAGCTAGTCGGTAAGGTCCTTTACATGCCTGTCTAGTCGAAACTTTATTCACAATCCAGGACCACCCCACCGTCACGCAAGCAGGAGAGCGATCAGAGCAGACAGATCGACGTGGCAATGAAGCGAGGCAAAAAGCGATGCCTCTCTGAGACTCTCTGAGAAGGATGACAAGGGACTCGGCCATCTGGGGCGGAGACCCCGGCGAACCTGAGCGCTTGGCCGCTCAACGTTCCAACTATTCAACCTGCAAACTCGACTAAGCCCATCGCACCTAGCGAATTGCAGGGACGTAGCTTCAGTCGCTTTCGAATTGGCTGACGATTCGTCATTCTCCGGAGTTTGATCAGCTTGCTGACCCGAAGACTCATAAACACAGAGCTGCAAAAAGGCAGTCCAATTTCCAGCCAACGATCTGTAGCTCCTGGTTTCCGGATGTGGTCCTTGTATAGGCGCAGGAAGTGCCGGCGTCGTTGAGTTAGCGCTGCCAGGACGTCGCAAAGCGCGCCAAGCCTTGCTCCTCTTGACACGCTAGGCCTGGTGCCAGGGGCCCGAAGTCGGCGCTGCAAGCTTCAAGAAGACTTCTAAGATGATTCCCAAAGCGAGACGCTGGGTCAGACACCATTCTGAGCTCGCCTTTTGTCCTTCACAGGCTATCAAATCTATCATCAGATGTCTTAAGAGATTTGGACGAGAACTGCACGCATCAGTGACGCCTGTTCATGTCGCGCAACGACCGCATGGACCCTTGCTTCTGTGTGACGAAGCGGTTCGCTAGATACTAGTCTAGGTGGGACGAGGTGAGTGCGAGATTCCCCACACCTTCAGTAGCAATCATTTGCCCAACCACGGTGAAGAGAGCAAGGATATGGATATTGTTAGATAACCAAGCTAACACAACTAACAGAGTGGTTTGAACGATGCAACTCCGCAGCATTGAGCATTGCTGAATCTCGTATCCTGCTTGGGGGAAGAGCGTATTGGTTTTGCGACGAGTAGGGAGAGATGTGTACAAATCTGACAAGCCCAGTACAACAACTAGTTGGCTGTCAATGGTCTGCGCCCGCACTGTAAAAGCAAAGTACAATGCCCCCAGCCTGTTTGCCAAAAAAGCTGCCTTCTATACAGAAACAATCCTTCTCAATCATCTTGATCACTCCTCTAGATTCACAGCCGAACGCGCGGGCTTCAGCCTTATACAGAGAGGAGCCGGCCAATGATACTTGCGCAGTCATAAAGTCTGGACCTGTTTCTCTGACCTTCTTCCATTGACGCAGGTGCGACATACCTTGTTTTTGATTTGCCACATGGCGATGACCTTGGCTCCTTGTTTTATTTAAGAAATCTAGCAATTCCCGTGCCCAGCCGATACATACTGACAATATCACAATCGAAGTCCTAAGTCCAGATTACGAGTAAATAAGGGCTTTGATCTCAGCTGAAGCGAACCAATCCCTGAATCATGGACAAAGATGCTAAGGCCGATAACGAGAAGAGTAGGAACGTGGGGAAATTGCAAGCTTTGCTTGAGCGAGACAAAGCGCTTCAAGAAAGAACAGATGAGCTGTATCGGGGTATCCATAACGCTATTAATGTACTCCAGTGTGCAGGCTATGGAAGCGAGAAGTGGCTTTTAGATTTGCGGAACCAACACATCGCCGCTCAGTGGATCGCCACCGAACAGAGTCGGAATCTGCAAACGTCGATAGAACAACGATTAAGTGAATTACAGCAATAGATCGATAGCAGTCCACTTATCGTACTGTTAGTCGGGGATCGTCAATAGATAAAAATCACGTCTTGTTTCATGTTTCCATCGGACCATCTTCTGTGGCTAAGTAGACGAGAACCAGAGCGATGAGCTGAGCCATGGGTCAGTGGCGGACGCTTGCACGCCCGAACTTCTGTAAATTTGTCGGTCTTATAACCGATACAGATCTGGGACGACACCTATGGAGAGCCTTGTTCGGATCGACATAGAGAATTCCTGTTGAATTCGTGAATAATAATGTGCTTCTCTGACATCTGATGACTGTCCGTCGAAATGAAGAATGCCAATCGAAATCGAACACGAGAGGTCGACAGCCAGAAGGCGAGATAGAAGTCTCATCACCACTTCCATGACTAGGGGTTTTGCAGAGTCAGGTATACATGGCGTGAGAATACTTCATGCTGCAAGTTACAAAACACCATCTTGAGGCAGTTAGCAATCTTACAGCCACCGCTGAAAAAATAAGCTGCCGTCAACCTTCAGGCAAGTCTCTCTCCTCCTGCCCCTCCGGACTTCAAGAGAACTTAAGATACGACAACTTATTGTTTATTCGGAAGATTTCCTTCTTACTTCTCTGCCGGTGCGGACCGCTGTTTTTGTTTGCCGCGGAAGACCGACTGCAGGCCTGGGCTTTTTCGCAGCACACGAGAGAACCCAGCGATCGAAGCTCGACGCGCGGGAAAGGGTGGGGTGTCAGCCTGCATGTGAAGAATTGTTCTTTTTTGGGCAAAACCGGTAATTCGGAGCGCGATGAATAGATGTATGGCAATCTTGAGGTTATCCTTCTTGGATCATCTTGGATCTTTTGCAGATTCGATATATGAGTTGACCGGTGTTGCTATGTATAAATGAAATGGGCATTCCATCCTGAGGAGCTTATATAGACAAGCCAGACTCTTGAATAGCTCTTCGCTGCTGTCGTCGCTGCAGACTTGGACTTTGGGAGCTCGGGATGGGTGCTTCTTATCGGTGACATCACTAACTAAACGGTCGAGACTTGGCCCTGAACCCCTCTGGATGGCACTCGGTGCGTGTTTGCGCTCTTTGAAGTCGCCGTGCCTCTGTCAAAATTTTCGCAAATGAGATCATCTTGTCTCTCCACGGTACGCAGTGTGTGTTGTCGTAGGTCAATTCTGAGTGATCTCAGGCTGGCAATCTCAAAGAAGTGAATGTGTTCAAGGAGTTTCTTGCAAAACGATCAGGCCAGACACAGGTCGAGGAGAATCTTCACGCAATATGGCATGCGATGTGTCATCAATTCGCGAAAGGATTTCCAATGCATGAGCTGAGCGTTTGATATACCACAACTAGTGTCTATCTGAAAACTGTTCGCCCTATTCAGACCGCCCTGGCTTGTGTGCTGAAAGGGGTGGTTTCCACACCTTCGGTCCCCGTCATCATCATTGGCGCGAAGAAAGATACGTTTTTTCTACCGCAAAGGCACGAAAGTGTATTTAGACGCGGCTAAACACCACCTCGATACAATTTAATGAGACTTCACTATCAGCTTAGAGACGGGTTGTGTTCAAGGAATGTTTTGGAACGGATGAAGACTGAAGATATGATAACTTTGGCCCAAGTTGGGTGTGGAGTTTGCATTCGTCTCCAGAGGTACGTGGTTCCTCGTTTCCGAAGCACATTGATCTCTCTCTAACCGCCCTCGCGTATTTCCAGATGACGAAAACTCTATCAAAGGTCTTTTCCGTATGGACATGGCTTCATTTCATGATATTGTTTTATCGTGGCGTTGTGCGCAGCTCAAGTCCCGGACATCGAAGTCAAGATTGACCAGACTATTGTGAAGATACTGAGACTTCTCAGCATGACCGTGGCCGCCGCCTCTATCCTTGGCGTAGGCACAAATGTCGCGACGCTGACTGTCTCGAGATACTTTTGTCAAAGAATCGCGCATGGTTGCTTCTGTATACCAGAGGCAAGAGTGGGCGAGATTGACATCCTTCTCAGCAGTGGGAAGAAACGTCTTCCGTTCATGACACAGGAAGTCGCTTAAACCACAGTCCTTTCGGGCGGTTGTGTCTGTTCTCAGTTATAGGTGGCCTCCCTCTTGCAGTTGGGGCACGGTTCTGCAAGCGCCGTCCACGGAGGAAGGCCTAAACACAGAGAAGTGAACGACGCGATACCTTTGGTATATGCGTTGGCCATCGATGCTCACATGCATCGAAAGGAACACCTTTCCAAGTGTCGTAGCAGGATCAAGGGGATCATTGAGAAGTACGAGTTTCATCTGGCAGGATTTGCAACGGTTGAGCAAGACGATGACCTCGAGTTTGATACTGACAGTGTTGAGTTGCAGTACATCTATGAGGATGATGACGATCCCAAAAGCTTGTGGGCGTAGTTCCAAAGCTGCATCAAAGTCTCACGAACGAACAAGATATGCACACACACACAAGCATGTAGACGAGACGGCCTTTGTTACTTCGACCACAACAGAAAGCCGCGTCCAAGAGAAGCAATCACGGTGACAGTCATCAATGCATGTTCAGCATGTGTCTTGTACAGGCCCTGGCTTGAGCTCAAGTGGCCGCGAGCAGGACAAACCCAACGAGCTGTACGGACAACAAGATGTGGTACTGGAAGCGCAACATGCCAGACCTGCCTGCCCCTGGGTCCCACGTCAAGCAGTAATATGGTTCTTTGCACCACCCGCAACCCCAACCCATAGAGTTGCAAGAGCTATGCCTACCTACTTTCTTCAAAGAGACTAGATAAGTATCTAGCGGCACGAAGCAAAGCAGACTAAGGGCGGTTCAAATGCCTCCACATTCACTGGTCTGGCGCCCTCCCAGGGCATGGCCCGGAAGTCTTTGCTTTCGAGGCACTAGGGACTGTTTAGCGCCCAACGTCCGTCGGTAAATACGGTGGTTCGAGCCGAAGACTTTGCCATTGACCTAAGCTCTCGTGGCTCCTCACCAAATGCAACCGGGGTGTTCTCCGCTGGAACCGAGCGGACCAGCAGTCAAACATCCCAAGACTGTATGTCGACATTGTGGCGAGCAACGAGTGTGCTGATCACGATACTGCAGCGCTTGACGCCCCCCCTCAACCTATGCAGCATGCTATGTTCCCAACTGATCAGCTCATGGTCCACTTTGCCTGCCGGAGCCTTGCGAATCAGCGATAACATGTGCCCAATTGTTGCCTGATGTCACCCCCGCTCGGAACCAACGACAACTTTGTGTCGTGCGTCTAACCAGTTGGGACATAACGGCGGTTGGTTCTTGTTCTTTGCGCAATACACCAACAGCAAGGCGACCATTTGTAGGTCAATCCACATCAGCTGGCGCGCAAGGATGTTTGAGTGGGCAAAACCCCTGGGCGTTGCAGACATGTTGCCGTCCCACACATTGCCGCTCCCTCGCCTAGCATTGCACTTCTCTTTCCATCAAAGATCGGTGTATGGCTAGGCCGTGTTCTGTGCAAACGAGTACAACTCTCGGCTTAATGCCTATGTACAGATTCGATATTACTGAACCTGCGCCTTCAACCTATGCCAAAATGCAGGGGCTGGGAACATACAGAGCACATGACCGAACCCCGCTTGGCCGGTGGGAAGAGATTCCTCGGCCAAGAAGCACAATTACCCCATGATCCGGACCAAGCGAACGAACATCCAACCGACATCGATTATCCAGCAAACGCCTTCCTCATCCTCAGATCGCTCTCTACTACAGGCTTGACTAACACCGTCGTAACATGGCTTCTACTGCCGCTTACCGCCTCATACTGGCAATGTTCATTGAGCATATTGGTGGTTGACGTGGCTCCTGGGTCACTGGGAATCCTCATCTCCCTTTTTCTCCCGGCTTGGGTTGGTCGAGATAGGCAAATGATTTACGACAGGAACGGCACCATGTGTCGTAGTGTCATTGGACGATGGTGTGAAGCCGCATATACACAACATACTTACGTTCCATGTGCTGTATTTATAATTGGACTGATGGCTCATCTATTTTCAACCATTCCCCGCGATTCTTCTCAGTAACATGACCAATACTGGTCTGTATGGAATTTCTGGCACAATGAGCTCCCGCTGTGTTGCATGCAACCGATCCTTCAGCAGCGAAGAGGCTCTTCAACAACACATGCGCGACTCTCCGATACATAGTCCGTCCTATGACTGTGATACCTGCGATCGTTCCTTTGGCAGCGACCAGGCGCTTCAACAGCACTTACGCAACTCTCCTGTTCATAAGCCGTCGTATGAATGTGATACCTGTAATCGATCTTTTACCAACGATGAAGCTCTTCAGCAGCACTTACGCGACTCCGCTGTTCACAGACCATCCTATGACTGCGATACCTGCAATCGATCCTTCGGCAAGGAAGAGGCTCTCCAACAGCACCTGCGTGACTCTACTATCCATCAGCAGAACACGGAAACACCTTTGGATGCGTTTTTCCGGTCACACGCGACCTTTGATTACGACCGCTCTCTTCCACCACCTGTCTCGTATGCCAACTTGCAGAGACATATGAGATGGCATCGTGACCAGCCGGAGTCGACCAATGCGTGGAATAAATACCAAAATGCGCTCGAGAAGGAGTTTCAGATGTGGTATGGTGCAGAAGACGACCTGGCTGCGTGGCATGCCCTTTGTCGCGCAATTGGGATCAACCCACTACCAGTTACCAGTGAGCAATGCGAAAAGGTTAGAGTCCTTGATCTGGCATTCATTTGATTTATCCTAACACTGATTGGAGGCTGCACGACAAACGCATGTCAACATCGTTGATTTGATCGAATGCAGGCGGGGAAATCAGGAAAAAGTGCAGACCTTTCGAAACGTGGAAGCGCTACGAGTCTATACCAAGGAGACAGGCAAGATATTTCGCAATAGGTTCCATGGAAAAGATTGCAGCGGGGTCTTGAGACACCTGCTTCGGAACATACTTCGCGGGGGCTCTTGAAAAGTCAACGCAGTTTATTTGCACACACCCAGGTGAAGAAGGACTTGAATGCATTTTCAATACTATTCGTTGGCCAGTTCAGGCGTAGAGTAGTTGCGGGTATCTCCTCGGGAGGAAGAAGTGAGATAGTCACCATCAATACGTTTATCTAGAGAGTATCTCGACCATGATTGATGTGCGGATTCATAGCTAGGATGCATCGCGGTATCAGTCATTTGAGCTTGATGGCTCCAAGACCGGAGACGACGACAGGTTGCACGGTGGCCCGGCCTTAAAGAAAGAGATGAGAAGGCACCTTGAGCGAGCACGGACACCTAGGTGGACAGGAATTACTGCACGTACATTGACACTGATGATGGAGGACTGCTGATGCCTCAGTATTCAATGCAGTCAGGCACCTCCGCGCTGACTTCAGAGATAGCACCATCATTTAACCCCTCTATAATCACTTACGCAACAATCGCGTGTTTCTCAATATTGATACCGAGCGAACCGCCGCTAGTATTTAAGATACAAAGCTCCAGATGGGTCGCTAACTTGCGCTCAGTGGGTGAATCCCCAGCCCCTAGCTTTCTTGACTGTTTGGGTTTTTGGCTCCAAGTCAGAAAGACCAGTGGTGCTTTATCCACATATCCCGCGCCCTGCGGCACCTGTATTTTCGTACCGGAGGTGAAGGATGTTGTCACATAACAGGGATAGAACCGCAATCCACAAAGTGCCTGTCACCTGCTGTATCACGTGTATATCACTTACATCCTGTATATAGACCTTTTTCATTTGTCTATTTCTACTTTGATAGGTTAAGCCACTTTACCACACTCCGTATGCCCATTGCTGCGTGCCATAACTCGTGACAATGTACGAACGACGCTGGCTTTGGCGGGTCGCCATGACTGCTTTCTCTGCGGGGGGCGCGTCGCCTTCACAGTGCGCTTTCTCCTTCCTCTTCCTCTTCGTCGCGGTGCGTGTTGTGACTAGATCTAGAATGCCATGACCCTCTCATAATTCGTTCACTATCGATGGTGACGGCTACTTGAAAGCGTACGCAGCTTGTTTCTCTACGTCCGCTTGTTGATCACTCTTCGTCTAGTGGTTTTCCGATCAGAAAGAAAGAGCGCCATGCGGAGGTTGTGTTAGTATGATAGGTCGAGATGGCAAGGGAGAGATGCGGGACTATCAACATAAGAGAAATGGTACCAAGGGCGGGAGGCAATTGGTAGGCGAAGCCGGTGATAAGGTGACAGCTGCCAGTCATAGACGATGGACGATGATAACGAAGCTGCAGTGAGGAAGTCGGCAGTCGATATTTGCAAAGCCGACTTGGCTAATAACGAAGTGATAGGCGCTAAGTCATTTGTTCTGGCTCGTCAATGTTTGCTATTTGCCGGCAATGGCTTGCTCGGTGTCAATAGTCAGTCTGGCCGCTGATTCGGTCGGCTGACTCCTGAGAATGGCAGCAAGTAGTCTCCGATTGAATAAAGTTCGGTCTGAGTCAGGAGCTGCTGGTTAGCTCTAGTGTTGATCCAGCCTTACTTCACAGACAATGAGAATGTCTACTGTGTCAGGGCGTTGTTAGGAAAAACACAATTTGTTGATTAGTACTGAAACATATTTGTGACATGTTGATTCATTTCAAGCCCTTAAACGTTAGCTTTGGGCATCATCTATGAGAAATCAGCCATTCTTGTGACTAAAACCTCAATTTATTTCACATTTTGTCCACTTGCCGTGTTGAAACAATGAAAGTCAGGAAGTATGGCAGTGCCGGAAATGGATGAGAAGGATACCTACAGTCCTTGCTATGATTGCGAGCAAATGCGCTAATTTATCCGCAACGATCAGGGATAGATTAGGGTCACCTGCCAGTATCAAGCTCTCCATCAAGCAGAATACATTGTGTAAGGCTGTGCTGGAGTATCGGGTCGTCAACTTTGACAAGGTGGGCTTCGGTGTTATGATCGCCCCTGGCTACTAACATCGTTGGTTGTTAATTGGAGTTTAAGACGTATTGGTACGGTCAGCTGCACCTTGCCGTCAATCATTGCCTTCTGCACTAAAGGCCTAAATGATCTGCTTCGACTGTCCCATGAACCATGAGTTCTCGCCCCGTTCTCGTAGCTAAAATCTATTCGTCCAGCCAACAGCCGACGCACTCAAGAGTTTACCTACGAGAGGCGAAAATGCAATTTAATATTTCAACTGCTGACTTTGAGATGGACTTCAATCAGATTAGGGCGATGAGGAATCTTCACTTTACCCACGAAAAGGGATTTACATAGCCAGAACATAGACAAGTTTACGACGGCCTGGCCTTCTAAGGTTTCCATGATGCGTCCAAGGTCTAGTAAGACTATTCGTAGGTAGTAGGCATCTCCACAAGTTATGTTAGGTTGGCACAGACTAACAAGCTACGAAAACAGACCACGCTTGAGCCTCCATAAATTGACGCCTTGAGAATTGTTCTCAAGGCAGACTAGTCGGCCTAGACCCAAGATGAATGTCGGCAATGTACGGTAGTGACCGTCGTCTGATTTATGAATTGTAGCGCGAAGTGTGTGCTGGCATCTCTGGAAAAAGAAGCTAAGCGGTGCGAGATGCCCTCATACTGTCTAGCTCTCACACACCGGAATCAGGATGAGTTAATGTACCGTATCATCAGCTTCCATATCATTACTGCTGTGATTATGACTTCAGGTGCTCTCCTACTGTGCCCAATATCACTTCTGTCTCGTTCTAGGCCCTTCTAAGGCTCTACCCTACCCTTCGCAGTAAACAAAGTCCTCGTCGATACCCTTGTTTGTTTTCGCCCTATAGCTTATGCTCCTGAAGGTGGTGCCTTTCTCAACGTTCCTACGTGTGATCTGAAACACAGATATGATGTAAATCACATCTCTGAAACGGAGTGGCAATGTTTTCGGGCTGTCGAGCCGCCGGGCCACCTCCTAGTATTTTTTGCCATTCCATATGAAGCTTGGGTGGTATATTAATGGGCTGTCGGCTTCCGTCGAACAATCATCAGAAGTTCCTACTATCTCGCGGCAAATATGACCCGTGTTTCACCGGAGATGAGAAAGAAAAGAAATCGAGATGCTCAGGCCAAGCACCGAAAGAAGAAACAGGAGGAAGCTGAACGCCTCCAATCAGAAGTGGAACATCTCCAGAGGAAAATGCGGGAAGTCCGCGAAGCCACGGCAAGCAACGACATGCAGCGATTGAAATATATTGTGCTAGGTGAGACGCGGCCTTCGACGCCTCAGCCCGATGCGTCAGCCATAGTCGAGTTAGGCACGCCAATCACTGACACAGGGTACATCGAGTCGTCCGATCCTTTCCCGATGCCATCTACCACTCCCTACTCGGACTGCAGCACACTCGACTGTACGCTCCTCCCACCAGGATACAATCTTTACCCCGATACCGTATTTCAAACACCATTTACAGGAGGCTACAGCCAAATGCTGCCATGGAATTTGATTCCCTCGGTTCCGGCATTGCCCAGCATTGAGATGCCAGGATTGCTCGACATGTCATCATGGCTCGATCCGCAGCTGCTAATCTCATGATCACTATATGTATACCCTCGAGGGGAAGAATACTTCTCATCTGCATAATAGAACTTTTCATAGAATGAAACATCTCGTGACTTCTGCATGTTGAAGAAAGGCCATTGCATGTCCTGAGGAAAATTCCGTCTTGTCGCCATTATTGTGTACCAATGCCATTGTCCAAGGCTGAACGCGGGTCAAAAACCCACAAGACTGAAGTCATCCACATTCGATGTCAATCTTAATGTTCAGGATTTCAAATACAAATGGACAAGTGGGCTTTGTATGTCCGATAACCTTCGACTAACCGTCTGTGTACATTTGAGTCCAAGTACAGGTGTCTTTTCAACTGAATGAATGGACAAAGTCATGCTTGGAGGGGCTGATAAGGAACTGTCACCCCCCGAATTAGGTCAGATGGATTTAGGGCCTATTCAGCGTATTTTTCACAACCAATCACACGTAGGCTCATGGCTTCTTGAAGGGGTTTCAGCTTAACGTCACGTAAAGTACAAGATCAGATGCTTACATCATTTAAGTTCCACCATTGAAGGTTCTCTTTACTTGTCTTCTGCCACGTACGGGGTGGTCGCGGACGAAGAGTGCTAGACACAGATCCACACCAGGGAGGGGGAACAACGGATAAGCCTCCCGCTAAACAAGATGTTGCCGCACCTTGGACTTCTCTTGATGTCGGGAGGGTAAAGAGACGTGCTTAGAAGCAATCCTTCCTTATCAATGCTCAACAAAGATGCAGACCTATAAGTTGTGTAAGTATATCTGGTTGAAAAGACCCTACTTTGACCTATCTCAGAAGCCGTAGCTATGGGAACTTGTGGTGAAGGTAATTGGAGGTCATTATATGTGGTAATACGATCACCCCTTCACATGTTGACTCTTGCTGAGGAACAACAGCAGATAATCTTTCAGGCGGACCAATGGCACAAGACAACCACGATGTACGAAGACTTAGAACCTCTATGTCAAAGTTTGCCGAAACGCACATTCCGTTATGTAACTTTGAACGATGTCGCCACGTTGGGAAGGGATTGAATTACGAGATATGGACCGATGATTGTGCTTATGACTCGTGCACCGTCGGTTCTCTTCGCCAGTGACACGTGAGCGAGGCTATGCTTTGCCAGCAATGATCGAAGAGGGTCCCAAGTGAAAGAAATGTTATTCAACTTCATTATCAGTATCCGGCTTGAGGCTTCTTTGCTCACAGGGCTGGAGAATCCATCGAGGTGATGTTCACGACTTGCATTATATATTTACCCCCGTGTAAAATGACTGGTCATGGGAAACTCTAGTCGTGGCAGTGCTGGTTGATATCCTACATCATCTTTTGGCTGTCGTAGTGTGGCATCTGACCCCGAGTTTTACTGATCATCTCCTGACCAACATTCATAATCATGTATAATCACGAAACCTTGGAAGATATCCTCAACGACGAGCTTGCATCGAAGCAGCTGCTACAAGAGGCACTGCAGGTAGTTGAAGAGAAACAGAGTTTGTGGAAGAGATTTTGCCTGTCTAGTATAACTCTGAACATTGGGATAATCGAGCTATTGCAGCGGATCTATATTACCAAATACCATAGTACCTAGCCTAATGTACGTTGTTGGTTGTGATTGTGTACACCTCGAGGCCTTGCCAAGCTTGTCATGAACACTCGGAGTTCAGTATATAAGCAAACACAAGTCGGCTACATTCTGCAACAAAAATGCGGTTCCTCGCCATATTCAATGCCATCATTTGGCTAGGATTCCTTTGGTTCTTCCTGTTCCACGTCAACCCCGGTTCACACACTGGACGAAGCTGTTCTATGTTAAACGTGCCTAGCCCCATGTCGATTTATCATATCTCTGTGCATGTTCCTTAACTGTCGTGTAGGTCACCACAGCAGAAGTAGTACAGAATATTATCGAAACATTCGAGGTCCTTCATAAAGATCAAGCGCAAACGCGCATAACCATCCCTAGCGAAATCGTAGACCCGGCGAAGTCTGTCGCTTCGAAAGCAGGAGAGCACATCGCAACGGCTGTGGTCTCTGCAAAGCAAGCGGTCAGCACACCACTCGCTGACATTTGGCAGAACCTCAGGTCCAAGTTCTTTGACGACTTGACTCGGTGGGAAGACACGGTGCCTGTCTACTTCTGTCTTCAAACGCGGGGTGTGTGGCAGTTGGGCTACCCGAACTCTACTAGCAAAATCGTCTCATCTAAGGACTTTGACGTCTTAGATACCCTCCAAATCACGGAACTCGACAGCCTGTTCAGCATGGCACGCCAGATTGTCCCTGGGCTGCCGGACGGCTTAGTCAGTGAGATGGCGGAAGTTAACTTCAATGTGCTCGATACAATGGCTGCCGCCGCATACTGGTCGCTTGTTGTTCTCCTCGTAGGCACGTTTCTGATGGTTCTGATTTCTGTTCCATCAGAATGGACCAAGTGGCTTCTCTGCCTTCCTCTGATGGCGGTAGGTTTGCTTAAGACCGTCCTTCTAGTCACGGCTTTGGCTTGTATGGGTATCTGTCTAGCCGTGAACTTCGCTTCTAGCGGCATTCTATCTGTCCTAGATGTTGGCGTCGCGAGAGAAACTGGAACGACGACATGGCTCTCAGGGACAGCTGTTGTTTGGCTTTTGGTATGGTTCCTTCTCGATTGTATCTGCTTGTGACAAGTCAGCATTTCTGTGTGGGAAACTAGAGGTGGTCTTGTAGATATCAGCCGTGTGTATATTCTTTCACCGCGACAACGGTCAAGCTTTCCCTCGTTTCTTACATTTTGCCTTGTCTTCGACTTTAAATCCCCAGAGAAGTTTGAGCTGTAGTTTCAGTCCGCAGCTAGACAGGACGGTCAATATATGCCAGCCCAGCCGTATATCGAATATGATTACATCCCATTTTAGAGTTATGATCTGAAACTTGAGACGAGTGCCTCGTGGGCATCATGCATTCACAGTTACCTTGCACCGCAATCAAGTTGGGTATCGATAGTACTCAAAAGCCTAGCCAATCATCTTCCAGCAGCAGTGACCTCATTATTCCACGTGAATGATGTTTGCGTACAGCTGCTTGCCCAGCAGCCGAGCGACCTGAATCGGAACATGCGGGCGTACCGACCGTAGTGGAATTCTCGATTCGGCACTCACTGAAATAAGCGCTGGAACGTACTCCTCGCCGGAGCGGGTAGGATTCCCCACGTTCAATAGCCGCGATTCCTCATCTACTTGCAAACTCCAGTCTGTCGAAACCGAGCTGTTGGACCTGGGATGTCAAAGGCCAGTCTCCTGTTTGCGTCCCTGGCAGAACAGAAGCGTACGCGATGGTCCTGGCGTCTGGTCAAAATAATGCCAGTATCCGTAACTCTCAGGATCTTTAGTGCGAGCCTCTTTTATCTGTATCGTTTTCTTTATGGCGGAGGGCCAAGTGACAAGTCTGTATGACCGCGCCCTCACCGTTCGTTCTGGATTTGGAAGCCTCCAGCGATTATGCATCCACATCGGTCGTCCAGGCCATGCTTCTACTTCGTTTAGGTGTTTCAGTGGTTTAGATTGGTCCAGCATTACGGCATAGGCCTTCGATGCCCATATACATGCTTCTGTCGGTGCTGAAAACCCATATTTGCAGTGCGCGTCGTGTAGGTGAATAAGGTCAGGTGAGACGCAAGCCTAGGCCAAGAATGGCTGCAAGAATAGGTGCGAGACGTCTCGACAGGGCAATCGCTTTTCACCCTGCATGTTTCTTGTGCATGATAGCTCACAATCCATAGTGTCCATGGAAGTCGGCTCCTCGGTCGTAACTTGCGTATGTGACAAGTCCTGCTCCATACTGTATGTGAAATTGTGTGAAATTGGGCTCCAGGTTCATGGTGCACCCAATCCATCAGGGCCAGGTGCACGCATACTCTAGTCATCGGAGCCTCCTTATCGACAGCCGTCTCTCAGAACCGGCTTTCCCATAATAATCCATTTCCAGAGTCAGAAGAAAACTGACGGGTCATTACAGATGTCTTGTAACGAGATTCGAGAGAGAAACTTACACTTGGCTTAATTTTGGGAGGCGTTGGTAGCATGATGGACCCTTCATTCATAGTCAATGCATTTCGGACGCCATGTCATCAGCATCTGGTACAATTGCTTCATAGACTGATCGTTTCGATCCTAAGGAAATTAAGTTCGCCCTGAACGTTTGATCTTATGCCTTGGGCTACTGACATGCAGTGATGCCTGACTGCGGTAAGGGTTTCGGTTATGGTATGCACCCGTTCTACAGTATACTACAAATGGAAGCTTCAATCGATAAGATGCCGTTTCTTCTTGGCAAAGGCCTTAAACGCAATCATTGAAGAGATACAGATGTAATGTTTCCTCACTATGTAATATTGCGTATCCCAAAGTGACTATTCAGGTGTCAATTAGTAGCGATGTGCCTGAAAGGGAGCAAGCGGCTTCGAAAGTGAGACAACATCTCAAGCAGAGGCGGTAAAGCCTCCCGAGTCTTCCCACTCACACTTTTATCACCATTCATGCCATCATCCCCATCCTCCCCATCCTCCTCATCCTCCTCATCCTCCTCATCCTCCTCACCGTCCCCATTGTCCTCATTCTCCTCATTCTCCTCATCGTCTTCATCGTCTTCATCATCCTCGCCACTATCCACACTGTCCCACAACTCCCATGACTCCACATGCAAACAATCTTGGTTTGCCCAAGTGCACCGATAATTCACTCCTATTTGCGCCTTGACAAAGGCTCCGGCTTTTGCAAACTCGCTAGCTACCTCTTCGAGCAGACTCCTGGACCCAATGCCATCGTCCCGACGTAAACAATACCAAAGTCTGAGTGCAAGAGAAATTATCTCGCATTTTTGGTATCCATTACACTTTTGACGGCTGCTTGACTAAGTAATGTCAGCAACTATCACTGCCTCACAGGCATTACTTACCCGTCCGGGAGAGCTTGTCAGGTCTGCTATATGATTTGCATACTTCAGGAGTGACTCGGCGAGGAAGTATGATGCAGAGGCAATTTGACTAGGCCTGATCCCAAGGAACTCTTCGTACAACATACTGCTTGCTGCTAGATATTGTGCTATTGTCAAAATGTCTTGACTACTTTTGTCGAGAATCTGCATGCGACGCAGGAAGAAAAAGGGGCTAGGCGTTCCGAGTAAATAATCTAGCGCTCCCAGCAATTGCCTCTCTATACTTGAGATATCGCTCGGTCTATATCCTTTGCCAAACCCCCCTAAATCATTAAGAACAGAAAGGTAAGTCTCCGTTTCTTTCTCGTGCACGTCAGGTGTCTCGTACTTGACCGCTAGTGCAAAAGGTACTGAGCCTAAGACCTCAAGATGGTTACCAGCGCATTTCCTGGAAAGGAAGCGATCTACAAAGTTGATTGCCAGGAACACAGTCTCTATGGGAATGCGGAATTTTTGAGAATACGATAGAAAGCGGTCGACGAGCTCTCTTCTATCCCGCCATTGTAAGTTTTGATGAAGTTCCATGTAGTATGCCGAGGGCAAGGTTTTCTCCTACACTATGTCAGTCCACAAGGCCCAACAAGGCTATGGGTTCACTTCGTTACCTCTATCGTCAGAAGATGTTCGAACATGACCTCGTCGTTTTCCTCCAAGATTTTCTGTTCCTCTTTGTTTTCTATTAATTTGAGACTCATTTCTTTGCAATAGTATGCTGACTTTCCAGTATGCGAGGTTCTATCCAAATCACTTATTTGTAGAGTATAACAAACAAAAGAGCATTCTTATATAGCCGTACCACCGAAAAGGAGCAAATGTATTAGCTCGCTAAACGCTGCCTTGCCTGAGAACGCAGGGCTGAAACAAGGTCATGTTTGACTAATTTAAGACAAATAAGTCTCAAATCTCCCATTCGAATACGAATTAGTATTCATCTTCAAGTCACACACTTCTGACGAGAGACAGAAATGTTCACGTCATAGTCATTTAGTAGTTGAGTCATGTAGATGGCAAGTTTGTATGAGTGAACAGCGACAAGGCAGACTTCTAGGTCCAATTAGTTTGGAATACTGACGTAAGCCGGTTAGGGTTCATGTAGTAAGGTTGGCATGATTGTGTTGTCTTCCAACTGATGACTTCTCGCGCATATTCCTTGATGCTTGGTATCGAGAAGAGAGGCTATCTAACGCCATCTCAGGTTGATGGCTAACGAATCATCACATCAACAGCCGGGCAATGGTTTTGGCCGATGATGAGGCGTATGCTCTAGTCAACCTATCGAATCGCCGTAAGAGTATGGAGTACTGTACCGTCGTCCTTAGATTGTCTACTTCGCTGTTGACTATGGCGTGATGCTAATGTAATTAGTAGAATTGCCGTGACGTGTCTAGCGTCATGATTCAAGGTGTCTCTACGCCGGATTACGCTGCTGAATAACATGCGTGAATTGTTTATCCGGGTCTAAAAAGCTACTGCCGCGAATCGGTTTGTTATAGTGACTAAATTTACCATGATCAATCAATTCTCGTAAATGATTCTACGTTCCATTTTCTGTCAAGACTGAGCTAGGAGTGTAGGGAGATCATTCTAGACTTGTAATATAGTCTATAAATTGGCACAACACTGGCGAACTCTTGGCTTCAAAAAGTGTACTCATGACTAACCACACACTACCTTGCGTGGCCCTCCGAGGAAGATTCAAAAAGCCTTATAATCACGACAAAGTCAGACAACTCATTCATACCATTGGCGCCAGGTTTACTTCCGACTTGGAGAAAGCAACTCATGTTGTTACTACGGAAATATGTTTAAAGAGTGGTGGCCGGTTCATCGAAGATGCGAAGGATCGGGATCTCAAAATCCTAGGGATAGAGTGGCTGGAAAAATGTAGCGAGAGTCAATGTTTCGTGGATGCAAACCCATACACCTTCCATGATGCCTGCAAAGATCTAGCTCAGCTGGATCAAAGGGGCAGTCATGCGAACTTCGGCAGGATCTTCGAGGATATCCTGACCATGTGTGATCCCAAGGTCACAGAAATGGTGACTAAAAGGCATTCTGAATTTTGGGCTCTCCTCACTACGCCATCGAGGGAGAGTCCGCAGCTTGCATTAGAAAAGATGATCACGAGCCTTTGTAAGCCTTTGAAGGATAACGCTGAAGCAGTCAATGCAATTAGACGTCAGGAAGGCTGTGAAAGTTTTATGGCATTGATTGACTCGATTGGGGACACCGGCTACCTCGCTTCTCAGGTTGAACTTTTGATGATAGTATACAGAGCAGTAGTTCTAGATCACCATGAGGAAGTGAGTCTCTGGGACTCGGCTCAAGTGGAGGAAGAATACAGTTGAATGGCATTTCTAGTACAAAGGTTATGGCTATACATCGAACTATCAACGCGATGGCCTCACTCGTAGGGAGCGGAATTCTTCAATGATGCCCACAGGAGATACCAGGCTTCATCGACACCTTCTATACTCTTCTCCAGTAAGTTTTCTTGGAAGGTGGTGCTGTCAATGGATGGGCTTACGTTTTGGCAACTCAGCGCCACGTCGGGATCAGAGTTCCAGCTGTACGCTGGGTCGAATGATGGTCTCAGAGTCGCTGGATTCGATACGTCCGCAGGTCAGGTGAGCAGAGATTCACGTCATTGTAACCGTCGCACTTTCAACGGTAAGCCCGCAAGCAGACCCTACGCATCTCATGTTGGCCACGCAACTTTGCAACCTCTTTGGACGGTACACAGAGGTGTGATGGTCGTCATCTGTGGCAGCATCGACTTTCACCGAATCTGTCGTATCGCGACTGGAATCAATGGGCGAAAGATCTCCAGTTGCTACAAATATGATGATGAATCCTGTGTTTCGTCTATTGCACGCTAAGCCAACGAATTCAAAGATTCGCTCGTTACGCCCTGGTCCTTCGAAATTCAGAGTCACTGCTGTGTTGATGGATCACTTCCGAAGTACTGGACCAACCAAGCCACTTCTATCTTCACGTCAGCTTAGAAGGCGGCGAGACCATCGAGGACACATACATAATAGAGTTCCTCTTGCTTCTCACTCTTGACAGAATCTATGCGGTGGCACTTGTGATCTCCATTTTTCTCAATCTCTAATGATGTTGCACATTCAAAGTTGGCCGAGAATACTGCCGCCATTAGCGGTAAAGAAGAAGCCTGGAAGTTGGTCAGCTTACTGGTAATACAGCGGTCTTTCTCTTTGAACCCTCCTGGTATTTCTTGATGACTCCGAACAACGAATTTGTAGCCATGCTTCTTGAGGAATTCATCCGTGATGTCAGACCCGTACTGCAAACCCCAGCCAGTTCGAGAGCTATTTGTCACCCCGCGATCCTGGGAGGGATCATTCCACAACAGTTGCGTCATGAGGTCTCGCCCCTTCGTCGGGTCAACTCTTCTTTGTATACTCTGCAGGTCTTGAAGCGAAGCCGGCGTTCCGCCTTCTTGCACTGCGAGCCCGCCGTGGATGACAAAAAAAGACTTCCCGTCGTCCGTCTCAAACCTCCACAGCGAGAGGGATGCTTCTGAAGCATTTGTGGATTAGTTGGAGAACCTCTTCACCTACCCTCAGTTGCGCTTCGTGAAAGAAACCCTCTTCTCTGTTGATGGGCTCACTTTCGTGATTGCCTCTATTGACAAACACGAACTTCGAGAATTGAATCTTCAACGTGAAGACCAGGAGAATGCACTCGCAAGAGTATGGGCCTCGGTCGACGATATCCCCATTGAAAAGATACATTGTCTCTGGCGAGGGTGCGCCGTTATGACCCACAATAACTTGCATGTTCACGAAATCGCCTTTGATCTATTAGCTCGATGGTGAATCGTAAGAAGTAGACCACGAACCATGAGTATCTCCAACCACAATCAATTTCCCTCCTATCTTGACATAATTGATGTTCTCCTCTTGATCGAATAGCTCCTGGGCTTCGATGATTGTCTCCTTGATAGGCTGGGGACAGAAGCCTGATGGCCAATCGTGTAATCCTCTGAGGAAGTGGTGCACGTTCTGTAGGGGGGGTTGGGGGACCTTGCGCTGCTTCAGAGTCTGACTCTGCCGTCATCGTAACTTGGCGACAAGGGAATAGAAGTTCGGACAGGATATCGGAGTGTGTGTAGGGAGAAGGAAAGAAGTCTCGGGAGGTCGATGGCCTGGTGAAAGAATCGAGGTACCCAGGACGTTATCAACGACAAACGTGCAGTACCAAGTTATGCGGATGATTAGCGTCTAGATAAGCGGCGAAAGAGCGATCAGGATCTTTCGATTAACAACATGATTCGGTTCCGCATCAGGTAGCATGAGGGCAATGGATGTGTTCAAGGACCAGGTTCATTATCATCTCAATCTGGCAAGCCGACGGCGTCCTTTTGTACCATGGGATGGCGTCATCCCATTGTGTTGGCGGCCGGCTGGGTGGGAGGAGACTGATGGGCTTCGCTAGTCAGCGTCACACCGTATTTGATCGACAAGCACACAGAGCAACATTTCAGATACCGCGTTCACTATTACTTGTTCCCATTGGCGTGTGTGTCCTTTTTTCGTGTGGTTATTCATTGAACAAGTCAAAAGCTGTTGTAGCGGTGTCCTCGTAACTGTGCTGCGCCATGTACGGACAGGTTAAGGGATTCACAGATGGTGTCGATAGTGCGAATGGCGACTCTCCCCCAGATTTTTACTTGGAGGCATCGCCCGCCTCCCTTGTCCCTACACGGAGGCCTGTGGCAGCCTCAACATGTACAATCCGATTGATGGCTTGTCTATAACCTTTTGCTAATCATTGCCATGCTACGTCCATGCGTGCACTGACCGGAACGGTTCCTCCGCGGAGATCCCTGGCGCCTGATTCCCCACCCTTGAGCCTCAACTTTTGGCGGCGGCAAACCTGCCTGTGAGCGTGGTACGGGGACCCAATAACATCGCAAAGGGGTCTCAGGCACCACTCATCGGTACGGAAACCACCAAACGTTCACAGCCTCTGGCCGAGATGGCGAGCGTTAATCGTAAACCAGCGAGACAGCAGGCTAGTCTGGTTAGCGGCGCTTTCCTTTCACGGCAGTGCCGCGACGGTTCAGCATGCCATGAAGTCTGAGGCAGCCACCTGTGGAGGATTTCTGCAGAAACCTCCATCGTGCATTGCCAGCCAAAATGAAGCTGCGGAACAACCGTTGTATTGCGCCCAGAGGATCAATCCACGGAAATCTGTACGAAGTACGAAGCACAGGATGGTTCGCTAGCGCCGAGCTCTTACCCCAGATATGAATAGTCGACTGGGGTCGCATAAGACCCTCGCCTCAGAGCCTAAGCAGTACGTACCGATAGGCACTCACACACATGGATGACAAGGCGAACTGAGCCTTAGCATGTGCTCGGTCCAAGGTCGATCCTCTCCCATTTGCCATATTCCCTGACGCCATTGCAGACTGGAGAGAGAATCACTGCTGTTCCCTCTTTCTTATTTTCGTCTTTTTTGTCATCGGTTCTGTACGCTTCCCTTCATCACATACGACATTTGCAGT